GACTGAAACGACGCGGACGGGTTGGGAGGATGTTAGTACGATCAAGCACGGTTGCACGTAAATGCATGTGCACGCACAATGGCTTGCTACAAGGAAGGTAAGGTCAGTGAAAGTAAACTTGATTGTGAGCAAACACGATACGTAAATGAAGCAGCACCTTTACCCTGCAGCTTTTGCATCAGCTTCTCCCTCGACTTGCCATCGAACGCGTCGCAGCCGAAGTACTGTCTCAGTTCGGAGCTGCTGCTGAACATCAGGTACCTAAGAAGCGGAAGCGGAAATACACGTCACACAGGCGAATAACTAAACGACTGATCGGCAACAACTTACGAAGAAAGTCGATGGACATGGTCCATGCTAAAGTGCAACGGGGTGATCTCTTCGCGCAGCACCAGAAGCGCTTCTAACAGCTGACCGCTTCGCACCAATTCCAGGTACTTCTGCTCTAAGATCATGAACTTCATTTCGGTCAGGTGCTGCGGCTTCGTCAGGTACGGCTGTAGACTGTACACCTCTTTCAGCACCTGCACGACGACATACAATTTTACGACAACCGGCACTTTACACTAATGCACACCGCATCCCACTGACCGGAAAGGACGTTTTCCCTGAACCTCGTCGCGATCGGCAATTCCATCCGACATCCTGACTCGTTCATCAGAACCTTTACCGTATCACTGAAAGCAACAACAACCATTTACTACAGTGATTGCTAAACGAGACTTATGGGAAGGATTCTGAAAAAAAAATTAATTTTTGGTAAAATAAGCTGTGCTTTAAATTCTACCTGATTAAAAAGTTATTTTAACACACCATTAAGTTAACAAAATTCATTCAATGAAGTTAATGATCATCAAATAATCTTCGAACAGTTTACTATGCATATAAATTTTATTAGCATAAATTCCTGACGTTGCATATTGAGTCAGATTCATCTTCTGGAGACGCTATGTAACAACAGGTACAATAGTCAAAATGAATAATGCACTGAATTCCACCAGCATAAAGAATTTAATCAATCTATTCAAAAATGAAATTAATTTAATAAACACAGTTGTCTAAATATACATAAAAAGAATAGGCGGTAACTACGCTGCTGCTAATCGCAAGCCTGGGCGAGGAAGGAGGACGGCGATGTCTTTCATAAAACTTAGTCGCCATGGCACTGCCGTTACGACACTTTATATAGGCTCCCGAGAAATCAAAGGCCAAGAAGTATGTTGCCAAACAGAAGAAAACAGCGAAAAGTTGGCAATCAGAACTTGTTTTACGCCATCTGGCCGTTGGCCGATGAGCAGCACGGAGACGGCTGCCGAAGATCGACAAGAAGACGACGGAGGTACCGGTCAAAAGAGTCACGGAACCGCCGAAACAGGACTGACACATAGCACAGGTGAGAAATCAGATATACGAGCAAATGAACCTCGATGTACAGTCGCTGCTTCTTCAGACTGAGAAGCAATAACAGTGATGGTTTGGGCAGGTTTTTCGATTGTTTCCATGAAGCAACTACATCTTGCTCAATTGAACGGCCGAAGATTTCAAGGATGGCAGAGAATCACATGAGGCAGGTGTATCGAACGATTCCGCTCCTGACTCGGACATTCTGCTGCCGAAGCTCAGACTCTGGAACAGGATCAGGAAGTTGGAAGCACAGTCTGACGCGTTAGCCTCCGCGTGCCTTTGAAAATCAGTAAATAACAGTCAATAACTAGGATTAAGCGTACCGGTGCGATTTTGGTCGCCAAGTTGCCCACCCACCTATGATACGGTTTAAAGTCAAAGTTGTTACTGAAAATACACCAGCGCCTTCCAGTAAGAGCGGATAGACAGACTCGTTAGTAAACCTGAACAAAAAACCCGGTGATGATATCTACAACGAAAATATTGGATATCATGCCCTGTTGCAGAAATGGCGAATCTCGATCAAACAGATGAACAAAGTTATAACAGTGCAAGCTCATCGGTTCGGATCTTATGGTAACAATTTCCGAACAAGGAACATATCTTACAATGACAAAGAAGCGGGCGCTGGGACATACACTTTTAGTTGCGTCATGCGGAAATGTAAAATTTGAGATTCAATAGGCAAAATGATCTAAACGATTAACTGCAAGATAGCAAGAAAATGCACGGCCGAAAATTTTCACGTAGCCTCAGAAGATTTCGTCATAAGAGAGCAAAAATCAATTAATTGAACAACTAATCCACTAACTTCAGATTGACGTCATAACCTTCGAAGATTTCATTGCCGTCAGCATTGAAACAGCCATACCGACTTATTTAGATAAATTGAAGACATAAAAAATTCAGCCAGTGACAAAAGATCGACTAGGCTAGCGCAAGTTAATTTACCAGGGATAATTCATCACAGAGAGGAAAGCGTAATGGACTGAATATTGAAAAGAGAAACTATCCGGAAAAGCGTCTAACATATGAGGTACAGCTGACAGATAGCTGAGAACTAGTTTAACCTTGATCATCTTCACTGATAAACATGTCCATGCTGATCGTAATCACCACCATCATTGCGACAGCCTTATATACTTCAGCGTTATACTTCTCGTGGTAACAGACGTCACTATTATCACTACGAGTGACAGAAATTATTACAACGATGATCACTATCATGATCAAATGATAAAAATCAACGTCAGACCACTGATGACTGAACGTCATTACGATGATGACGTTGACGATCCCTGTAACTATCACCGCTGCTACGATTATAGGGACCATCTGTGATAATCATAGTCATAACGGATGACGGCAATGAATATTACGATGTTCACGATTATCACAACAGCCATTCCCACCATGAGAGACTCTGTGGTATTCAGAGAAACCAGTTGTTACCATCGTTATGATCACGATCATCGGCTCAATAGATCTCATTATCCTATGGACCTTCGGCACTGATCGCTGTTTAAGAGCGATGACGTTCACAACCGAGGTGTTGATAATAAGATTATCAGGATAGTATTAGCGATAAAGGTAAGTATGACGGTATAATCAATGAAAATGACAATGACGGCGACGCTGATGATCGTAAACGAGGATGACTATTACGGAGACGACGGTGGCGACCATCATAGGTTGACTATGTTTATTACATGACCATCGTCGTTATAATCATCATCTCTTAATGACCATCAGAACGGCAATGATCACTTGCTCCACAATCAGCAAAACTCTTAAACGTAAAACATCGTACTCTAGTATCTGAACGTGAACAGTCATAAATAAAAATTCGATATGTCAGCATATCTCGGTCACATGAAAGGAATCGGTTGAGAACACGGCCACTGAACTAGCTGGTCGATCGTAATCTGCATCGCAGCTACAAACCATAAACGTTGAGCACTTCAAGGTTAAACCAGATGGACCGGTCAAAGTTTCCAATTCCTGGATAACGCACAACTCTTTCACGGCGTATTGCAACGCCCCTTACTTTTAGCAATGGGCAGTGCCATACGATGTGAAATTTGGTCTTGGAAAACTTATATGCTATAAGTTGGTATTTAGTTATTTAATTATGTGGTAGTATATAAAGAGCACAAGCTCTTCATAGCATAAGCTTGTTTATAATGTGCGCGAAATAATTACAACGAGATGTAAAAACGATGTCTCTGACATTGGAGGTGTTCAAATACGTAGAACCGTCACCTGCCAAAATCCCCCCCCCCGTCGCCAGGTGACTAGGAGCAAGGGGGCGAAACAATACTTTGTGAAATTTGGTCTTGGAAAAGCCACGCGTTAAAATTCCTGCATAAGCATAATTTCGGGTGAGTCGTACAAACCCACGATCCGTGACGGCTGGTTTCATGAAATTCGTCTTCAACTGCTCCAGCGACCATTTAAAATCTGCGGTGTTCGCTCATCTCAAAATTTTCAAAACTTTATGCTAGCAAGAAATCTTAATCCCAGATTAGTGAATCACACCATTCCCATTTGGCATATGGTGTTTGACTTGCATCGCTCTCTCATCGGAATATCACTTACGATTCCGATATAGGTTTGCTTTACATTATGAGGGACCTTTGATCCACGATGATGGCTCTTTGCAAAATCTTCAATTCACTACGACGCGATGAGAAAAACAAAAAATTTTTTGTTCCGGGTTTTATCGTCTTTACCAACCAACCTTTCAACAGCTTTACCGCTTAAAACAGCTGTAGTAGTATGTAAAACTAGCGCTGGCTATGATTAACGGCTGAAATTAGATTTTCGATAAAATGATAACAAGTAAACAAATAAAAATTCATAGGAATTAAAAAAGGAATAGAGAACAGAAACTGGGGACAGCACTGGACGGAAAATTAATTTGCTAATGAATGATGGGTAAATTCATAGGTAGCAGGAGAGAATCGACTGGAGCAGTTTCAGATCTCTTCGTCTTTGTTCTGCATAGCGTCATCCATCACAGACATGTTTGCCTGCGTTTCACCTTCGTCTGTTTGGACTGCTGTTTCTGCCTCTACCTTTTCCTTCTCCACTTCTTCTTCTTCATCGTCTTCCACCTCCTTCTCATCGTTTGTGCATCTTCTTGCACCTCGTTTAAAGGTTAAACTC